ATAAGGTTTGACGGAAAAATTTGGATTTGACTTGACCATCAGTGTTTGAAAAAACCTTGTACAGAGTGTCGCTTCAGGAAAGAAGTATAGAAGAAAACTGTGGGATCAAAAATTGTTCTGTATCGAAATTCTACACCTGCTCATGAAGGGAAATTTTGAAATTTCAGAAATTAAATTTTTAAATGGAAAAATACCGTTTTTAACAATTTAATTTCAAAAATTTCCATTCGTAAACCGGTGTAGGATTTGATACTGAACAAGTTTTGTTCTCACAGTTTTCTTCTATATTTCTAAAATGAAACTCTGTGCAAGGTTCTGGACGATTTTGCACTGCGGCATCCTGAAAAACTGACCAGAGAATCTTTATTTTTTTTGATTTTTGACAAGATCTCGAAAACGCACACTTTTGGCCCCCAAAACGCATTCTTCAGGTCAAATCCGAAGTTCTCCGCCAAACCTTATTTGAGAACGATGACAATCTTTTCTCATATACATCTCGATGTACTCTATCCATTGGTTACAGAAGCGAGGTTTCAAACTGAAAAGTAAACAGTAAGTTTTAAAAAATGCACAAAAAAGGCCGAAAAAAATTAAAAAATGTTTTTCTAGAAAGTTACAAACCCGTAAACCTCCAAACTCTTTTCACATATATTTCGAAGTGTTCTCTACAATGTGACAAAGTTTATATTACTCATGGAATACTCCATTATCGATACAATTTATTGTTTATTTCACAAAAAACTAAAAAGCGAAAAGATTAGAGACCATGGAAAAGTATGAATGTCTGAGACAATTTTGCGAATATACAAGATTTACAGATAAATTTTAACTAAAGTTTCAATTTTTGAACGACAGATTGTAAGTGCAAGAGCAACAGAAATAAAAACGATTTCTCTTCAATATCGTATAGGTAATCTTTTGAATGGTACTATGATGATCTTATCCATGTAATAGAATATTCAAATGATGTTTCATTTATGGTTGCTCCACACACACAAAAAGAAATAAAATCTATTGCTTTCTTTGATCTCAGGTCTTGTCTCCGATCTCCATTTTTCCTTTCGGCCCTTTAACAGCATCCCTTCTGCAGCAGTGTTTTGACCTTTGCAATGCTAGAATTTCATAACAACGACACATCTGTTGATAATTCTCTTTTTTCTATTAGTTTGTTTGATCACAACTGAATGAATACAAGTATCTTTATTCTTTTAACTATCAAAAAAATTCCAATTTTTTTTTTATATATGTGCTAAAATGAAAGATACTTAAGAAAAAAATGAACTTCTTCACACACAGCACGCATAAGATAGTTTAGTAGTTTCTTTGACTTAATTATGTTGTCGTTTAGCACAAAAACCAACTGTGTGATTGTTGCACAAATTTTCATAGCAACATAGATAATCTTTAGCATCACACTTGAGATGTTTATCGAATACTTCCATAAATCCAAAACCACCACGTTCAACAGCAAGGCCTGTCTTCGGATCAAATTTCTATCCATTCAATAAAAAAAAATCGATGATAATATTTTAGTGAAAGAAAGAACAAATCCAAATTCTTCTACCTACCGTATAACAATAGAGATTCTTGGCACCCAAAACGGCTGAAGTACGAATTTGAGCTCCTTCGAGTCTATCCGGTTCGCAAGCATCAGCACCTTTACATTGATAACAAGCTTTTACTTCTTTCTCCTGTGTGACTTTAGCTATAAATGAAAAGACAAAGTCAATTTTCTTTTTAAAATAAAACGAATAATCGAATCAGTACTTACACTCTGGTGGACACGGTGGTTCGGTATCTTTGTTACATAGATCTCCTTCGCAACATACATGATAACGATCTCCACATTTGACAGTTTTATCATATGTTTCTCCAAACCCATAAGCACCACGTTTAATAACGGCACCTGCTGGATCGAATTTCTGTACGAAGAAAAAAACGAATTTATATTTTATATGATGTGGTGACTGACTGGTCACGTGGACACCAACACGTGATTGACTATCGTCCAGTGATCAAGTACTTTCTAGAACTTTCTGTAATCTAGCTATTGATCCATGGCTTACCCAAAAAAAACTCGCTTCCTTTCGTCTATCAATTACTCGTATTGAGAGAGGCGACATTTTCACGTTAAGTTACAAATCAGCGTTAAGTTGAGCGATTGTTGTTAACATACGTGCAAGGATTCTTTTGAAATATATTAGAAAAATACGTTATTTCAAAACTATTTTGTGAATATCTGCCTCAACAGTTTCTGTAGAAGCGTCACAACATAATGGCGTCCTTGCCTAGAGTAATGATACCTTCCATTCCTGTTGATACTATTGCCTCTAGATTTTTTTACACAGAAAGTCACTTACAATACGAAGCGTTTTTATAAGCGAAAACACTTATTATATCGTTGATCTAGGCAAACTATGTATTATAGGAGTAATTGTATAGAATAACAGAAACCATACTCTAACCCCATCACTATTCTCCAATTGTAGGGTATGA